ATCAGATGTATAGTCAGAGAAAGAAATCAAGGCTGACTCCAAGATTTTGTGCCTGAGCAACTAACTGGAAGAATGGAACTAACATTAACTGATATGGTAAGATCATAAAAAAAAGGGTACAGAGGGGATATTTAGACATTATTTAGATATCTATTAGACAACCAAGTAGAGAAACTGATAAGACAACTGGTTCTCAAAGTAATAAGCGAGTTACATCTTTGAGACATGTTTATTTTATACTTCTTTGAGAGTAATTATTTTCTATCAAAAATTAATCTTTCAACAGTTTTGGAGGTCATCCAACAAGATGCCCAATGCCAAAATTGATTCATCTCACAATGGCAGGTACAGCACTGCTGAGCAGCTTAAGCCCTGGTCTCATCTTTTCTTGGTTGCCAGTGTGAATCCCAAGGAGCAATAAAAATTTAACTCTGCTGACACTACTGCTCTAGTTTTTTTTTTTCTTTTTCCTATCTACTGCTTTTGCGTACATTCTAGTTTAGAAAATAAGGTATTTCCCACTGGTGGCAACAATGACTGCAAATGATTGCCTTTTTAAGATTGGACCTGACCATACATTTAGAAAAAGAGATCCACCTAAACCATCTTTGAGATGCATTTTTAAGAAGGAAAAAGGGTAGCATAATTAAGTGAAAGAGAAAAGGAGATTAATTATATGAATAAAAATATGTAAAACTTAAGGATATACTGGATGCATATCACATACAAAGTTAACACACACGCACATTAGCCCGCACACAATGAACGCTAATCTATAAAAAAAAAATTAACAATTAAAATAATACAAAAGTATAACAATAGTGCTCATATACACTGATCCTTTCTCAAAGGCAAACTACAAAGTTAACACACACGCACATTAGCCCGCACACAATGAACGCTAATCTATAAAAAAAAATTAACAATTAAAATAATACAAAAGTATAACAATAGTGCTCATATACACTGATCCTTTCTCAAAGGCAAATCAGTACTTCTGAAAAATTCTCTTTGGATTATTGCCAAAATAAATTTTATTCTACAATTCATATATAAGAAATCTTAAGGTGACTATACTAAAAATATATTCTAACTTCAGCAAAACCACAGAGTGCTCATCTCTTTTGCATTTGGGGCTTCAACCTATACTGGGCAAGTTACCTGACCTCTCCGATTTCAGTTTCCTCATCCCTAAAATGGAGTAATGATAAAGCTTACCTCATAAGGTTGTTTTGAGAACTAAAAGAGTTAACACACATAAAAAAATTAGAACAGTATGTGGCCCATCGCTATTATTATTTTATATGCTCTTAGTCTATATTGCAAAATATTTGATGAAGCCAACCAATAAAATTTCTCAAACTCAAGATGAGTATTTGATTTTTAAAAGTACTTTTGTTAAAAAAAAAATTGAATACTACAAGCCTTTCAGTGATTTCTAAATCATCTTCCTTTCAATTTTTTCTTTTTGAATTATTGGAAATTAGCTTTTTCCTGCCTTCTCATCCCCCCATCTCAACACTGACACTCAGACTGAAACAGAATTACTAAAATGGGGGATGTGAATGGGGGCAAGTACAGCACATAAGTAGACCAAGCCTGTGAGGTAACAAGAAGGTATTACAATGACCATATTCAACAATTTTATTTCCAGTCACAAAATAAGGCTATTTCAAACAATCAAAAAATATGACTTTCTTTAAAAATGAAAATAAAAATGGGGGGAAATGAGAAAAAGATTTCTCATTGGTATTGTGAAGGAACAGAATTATTTCTCAAGTCCCTTCCAGCTCTAAAATTCTTTGAACCTTAGAATATAGGAAGCCTTAGGAAGCAAGAACTGGGAACCATAAACACAAAAACAAGTATTCACTCTTGACAGAGTAACAGGGTGATAGTAAAGATGTGTTACTATTAAGCCTTTCCAGTTTTCTAAACAAAAAAATATATATACTTCTGCCAGAATAGCTTTTAGTCAAACACTGTTAAAGTAAGTTTCAAAGCTTTTCTATTTTCAAACTTTATGGAGGAGAAAGGACTATATTTTTATATAATTTATACAGAAAACGGAATCATAAAATCTTTTATAAAAAAGGTAGAGGGAGAGAAAACAATTAAAACAAACATTAAATGTTATGCCAACAATTCTTTAGTGATTTTTTTAAGTTATTCATTTTTAAAAAATCAAAGTAATGATGAAGTAATTACATTACCTATGTTTCGTAGAATTTCAACAAGTTTTTCTCTCTTTGAGTACTGGCCAACTTGGAGAATGGTCTGCTGAACATCTCTACATGCTCCACCCACTTCTCCAACAGCAAGAAACAAATAATTCGACTTTAAAAACTCCCCAGCCAACCTTGAAAGACAAAAGATTATTCCTTAACTTATGCTCCTCCATTAATACTCATAATATTTGCTGAATTCCTGTGTTACTTCAATATTGATTAAACAGCAGATTATAATTGGTATAAGAAGATAAAGTGGTAACTTATATCGTCCAAGTACTATTTTCAAATATCAGTATAAAATGTTAAGATTTTTAAAAGTACATGACTACTAGTTTGCAGGAAAAGTTCATGTCAAATTATGAATACAGTAATTTCAAGTGCATTTGCTGTCCATGCAAAACTATATAAAATGTGTATATAATAATAATAAAAAGTGTGAACTAAAATAAATACTGACTGTGACAAGCAGGAATTTTTCATTAAAAACTGAAATGTAAGCACAAGGCACAAATTCTGTTATTCATTCATTGCTCTTATGTATGTTATTGTTAGGAATTGTTTTCTGAAAATATTACCTGTTAAATTACCCTGTTTCAAATGAATAATTTCATAACCAGATCTCAGGTCAGTGCTTTTCATGTCATGACACACATATAAAACGATAATATTTGGATAGCACAATTGGGCAGAAAAACAAGATAAGAGGCGAAAGGTCCAGGGGCTAGGCAGAACTAGTTGTGTATGTTTGCTCCAAAAGTTAAGGGCATCATCAATATCTGACACGTAGTAACTCACTATAGGCATACAATGGAGGTGGGGGAATTGCCAATTAGCTGAGTTTTCAGGGATAAACGGGGAGGCCCAAATTTATCTTCAGTCCTTCCTGCTCCCTCCTGTGCAGCAGTCTCATTTTCTAGCTGCCTCCTAGAATGTAATGAAAATAGCTCAAACTTAGCATATCCAGAATCTTAATAAATCACTGCTTCTTTCCTCTTACATGCTCTCTTACCATAAAAGGAAAGCTTCTTTTTGATATACCTTCTTCTAGAGTGAAGCATCTTCTCACCCAGGCACAAACCTTGAAATCACCTGAAATTCACTATCCACCACCCTTTTCATTCACTAAAATATTTACTGAGTGCTTTCTGTTAAGCATACATGGAACAAGGTACTCAGAGTGCAAAGATAAATACTACGGTGCCTGCCTCTGACGTGCTCACAGCAAGTAGGATATAGTTATATAAAATATCATTACTATTTAGTGTTAGAATCGTTAACATTTACTGAACACTTACTATAGTCCAAGAAATGTGCAAACTGTTTTGTATTGTTTCTTTCACAAGATACACTGGCAGGAAATGGGTGAAATGATGTCAAATTAGTAGAATGTTCAAGTTTGAAGATGATCTAAGGAAGTAGCAAGCAAGAATGTGGAACATTGACAACTGGAGAAAAGCATTCTACACAGAAGGAAAGAAGAAACAATAATGAGGAGGGACAGAATTCTGCTTGATCCACCAACAGGAAATAGCTTTAATAGACCAGAAATATATGATTCTAGGTAAGAAAGCAGCAGATGCGATAGAGATTATGTCATATGTTAAACAGTTTAAAAACTGGTTAGGCTGTAGAGATGGGAATACATGGGAAGTTTTACTTTAAATAAACAACTAAAAGAATCAGACCCTATTTTGGAATTATTACTAATGCAGAAGTGAGACTAGAAGCAGGGAGACAAGTTAAAAAGCTACTGCTAAAGAGCAGGCAGAAACTGAGTAGGATTTAAGTTAAAGTGAGAAATAGAGAAGAAATTAACAGATTTGAAATATTTGAGATAACTGCCAAGCTGAATATTTTTGAAGAGCAGAGACTTACAGGAGTGTGAGGGAGTAATTACCATGATTCAACAGATTTCTGGCTTCAAAAGACCATGGTGGTATTAACTAGAATAAGGAAAACTTTAAAAGAGTTGAAGAACATATAGGTACAATTTAAAAGGACATGAACATGGTAATTCATCTGAAAGTAAAAATACTCCCAAGTAGTTAACTTTAAAAGTCAGAGGCTCAGGAGAGAGATTAAGGAAACAAGGAATAAATCTGGGAGAGTTACAGGTAGAAGTGGAGCCAAGGGAACAGATGCTACAACGGTTCCAAAAATATGCAGAATGAGAAAAGGACTTTGGACCAAATGGGCAACTGGTAACACTTAAGAACAGACAGTGAAGCAATTGAGGAGGAGCAGGAAGCAAAGAATGTAAATATCTCAAGGTCAGGGACTCTTATTTTGTCTCTAGGGCTTACAATCAAATACAGTTCATAAAAGATCCTCAACAAATATTAGTGGCTGATGGTCATACACATTAGCCATTTTGGATGGCCAATATCCAAATACTTTCCTATTTCAGGGTAATCCAAAAGGAGAGAGGTAGCAGGAATATTACCTGTGAATTAGGTAGGTAATTACCTATTTAATATTACCAAAGCTGATGGTGGGAATGCAGATACTCCATTTCAAATTTACGATACCATTCAATCACTAAGAGATCATTACTTTATGTACCACTAAGAAAAAAAATCCTTCCAACAGACTCAATGCTTTCTTACTAGATTGTTTTCCCCCAATAAAGAGCTCTTTTTAACTTTACACAAAAATTTTTTTATCACACAGTAAGTAAAACCAATCAATAGCTAACACTACTTTCCAAGGGCTTGTGAGTGTTTGATGCACTGCGACAGAATCCCACATAACATTCTATCAGACCAGGGGACAAACTATAGAGCAAAGCACATGCTGCAGCAGGCCCAAAACCATGGGATCTACAGGTCATACCATATACTGCACTACCCAGAAGCTGCCAGCTTGGGAGAACACTGGAACGGTGTACATAAAGAACAGCTCAAGAGCCAGGTTAGAGGAAACTCTTTAGGGATCTACAGGTCATACCATATACTGCACTACCCAGAAGCTGCCAGCTTGGGAGAACACTGAACGGTGTACATAAAGAACAGCTCAAGAGCCAGGTTAGAGGAAACTCTTTATAAGGACAGTGCATCAACCAAAAGGACACAGTAACTCTGAATCAAAGATCTGCATGACTCCTGGAACCAAGGGTTGCAGGAAAGAATGACCCACCAATGACCCACTTGGGAAATCTGTGCTTCCCATCCCTTAACTCTTGGTTCTATAGATTTAGAGGTCTTAGTTCCCAGGGAGAGAACAGTTCCACTAGAGAAAACAGCAAGAGTCCTACTGAATTTAAAGCTATTGCTGTTGCCTGGGCACTTCAGGCTTCCTGTGCCAATGAACCATCTGGCAGCCAGAAGTGTCACCATACTAGCAGGGATTTGTCAATCTAATGTCTGAATTCACCAGACCACATGGTATATACAGCATGATCCTTAAATATCTGTCAATAATTGGTATGCTGACATACCAACTGGTATGCTGACAAAGACTTACTTCTCCCAAATTCTATACATTTAGATGTGAAAAGAAGGCACAATAATAAAATAACTTCATTTTGTAAGTATGTATCAAATCCTAGTTGGTGCTGTGCTACAAGACATACACACACACATACTTTTTAATAAAACGTGATGCTAATGCAAAGCCAGTAATAAATATAAGAAACAAAAAAAGGGGTAAATTTTTTAGGAATACATCTATTTTTTAAACTACCTACATTAAAATCTTAAATTTAAGAAAAGGATGGGCCGGCCCCGTGGCTCACTCAGGAGAGTGTGGCGGTAGCGCCAAGGCTGCGGGTTCTGATCCTATATAGGGATGGCCAGTGCGCTCACTGGCTGAGCGTGGTATGGACCACACCGTGCCGAGGGTTGCAATCCCCTTACCGGTCAAAAAAAAAAAAAATTTATGACTGTAAGAAAACGACAATAAAATCTCTAAAAAATAGAATATTCACATTGCTTCTACCTCCATAAAATTATTCATGTATATAATCAATTTTTTTTTTTTTTTTTTTTTTTTTAAAGCTTACCTCTGAATCTCTTCTGGAAAAGTTGCACTGAACATAAGGGTTTGGCGATGTTCCTTTGATGGCATTTCTGGGCAAGAAATTAGCTTCTTCATTTCTGGTCCAAAACCCATATCCAACATGCGATCAGCTTCATCCAAAACTAAATATTTGACTTGTTTGAGACCAATCTTTAAGGATATTTTCAAGGGTAGGGACAGAAAATACGCAGTAGTTTATATTAAATTAATCTCAATTCCAACTGTTAAAATGTTAAGGACAAAAACTAGAAATCAATGCATAAAATGATGAGAACTGTTATGCTTAGATAATACCATTACTGATTATTTCAGTTCAATTTTCTGTTATAAAATATTTTTTTAAATTAAGGCCAAAAAAAAAAAAAATCCCAGAAACATCTCACTCGGGAGAGTGCGGCACTGGTAGCACCGAGGCTGTGGGTTCAAATCCTATATAGGGATGGCCTGTGCGCTCGCTGGCTGAGCGTGGTGCGGACAACACCATGTACAGAGGGTTGCGATCCCCTTACTGGTCAAAAAAAAAAAAAATGTGCTGGCCCACAAACACACCCACACACAAACAAGCCAAAGACAGGAAGAAATGATTCATAAAAATACAAACGGGCACACCAAAGTCACAGGTTCAGATCCCTGTACCAGCCAGCCGCCCAAAAAAAAAAAAAAAAAACAAATGACTTCTAAACACTCTTTTTCTTAAAGTTCAGCATTACTTTAAAAAGGAAGACAAATGAAGACTAAGACTACCACAACTGTGATAATACCACCTTAGCCAAGGTAGAGGGGAATTAGTACTCAAGAAAGTAAATTGATACAACCTCTCACAATTTTAGTCTCTATTAAAATTTAAAACTTACCCTTTGTCCCACTAAATTCACATCTAGAAAGTTACCAAATATGTTCCTACAAATGTGCAGAGATGAATGTACAATAATATCGTCACCATTATTTTTGGTATCAAAAAACTGAAAAGTAATTAACTTTCTATCAGTAGATGACTTAAATTATATTACACTATACAAATGAATACTGAGCATCCATAAAAAGAAAGGGCTACAATTCTAAATTAAGCATTATCTCCAACATACTTTATTAAAAAAAAAAACCCCAACCCAAGTGCCAAGTGCCAACAGCTTAATATGCTACTGTTTGTTGAAGGGAGAATTAAAATGCATACATGTGCACCAGCTATTTCTGCAGTGATTCATATGAAACTGTTAGTAGTAGGCACTGAAGAGAAGAATAGAAGAAGTAGGGGGTAAAGAGTATATGAAAATTTTGTTTTATTAAACAAACTCGTTTTTAAAAATGGCTTGTTTTCCACTATTGTGAAGAATAAATGAATTAAATACTTGTAACTTAGCATATGCTAAGTATTCAATAACTTCATCATTAACATTGTTATTCTGTATGTACCATAATTTAACCAGTCCTCTACTGATGGACATTTAAATTTTTCAGCCTTTTACCACAACAATGTTGCAGCAAAAATCCATGTATAAATTTCCATCTTTGTGCACACATTATCTGAATGTACCATGCACATGTTTTTGTTTTTAAAAAAGAAAATGTTTATCTTCTTTTACTTGATTTCAAAACCTAAAAGCAACATAGTACATGAGAATTAGCAAGAAATAAACACTGGTATAAGCAATACACATCTACTTTTTCCAAAAGATCTATCAAGTTTGACATTTAAATGATTTTAATAATCACTTTACTTTTTGCTTCTCATTTAAAATAAACCGATATACAAAATAAAAGGTTAACAGTTTCTACACAGAAAGCTCTAAAAAATTGTAAAGAAAAACACTGTTTCCAGAAGATAAACTGGCAGATAGCAAATAGACATTTCACAAAGGAAAACTTATTTAGTACTCAAAAAAGTAGTTCAATCTCATAATAATCAAATGAAAAAAATAATGAAGATATCCACAGTGGTTTTAAAATATATACATGCACTTTACTCAATAAAAAATAAATAATAAGGCACACAAATTCTTTAATATTCCTTCCCTCAAATATAAATCCTGACTCCCCTGCCCCTCAAGTGTGAGCAAGGATGGCTTTACAGGCATGCAAACTGTGAGTCACACAGGGTCCAAAGCTCAGAAGAGCTCTGAAACCTTCATTTTGCACTAGTTCCAGCAAATTAGCCAGTCCTGAGTTTGGCTAGACTTAGTGACTTGCTTCTTACAAACAGAACATGGCAAATAGACAATGTGTGACTTCTGAGACTATTTAATAAAAGCCATTGCAGCCTTCTCCTTGCTCTCTCTCACTGGTCAATCTAGGGGAAGCCAGTTGCCATTTCCTAAGGATAATTAAGCATCTTTATGGAGCGATCCAGTCAAGCCTTCAGATGACAGCAATCCTGGCTAACACCATGTCTGCAATCTCATGAAAGACTATAAGCCAGAAGCAGCCAGCTAAACTGTCTCCAAAATCCTAACCCCAAGAAACTGTGAGATAATAAATGTTCACTGTTTTAAGCACCTAGGTTTTAAGGTAATTTGTTAGGCAGTAGATAACTACTTCAATACCAAATGTTGGCAAACAGTATAGTGAAATAAGTCTTCTCATATACTGATGGTAGAAATGTACATTAGTGCAAGTTTTAAAATAAGTTCATGCTCGGGCCGGCCCGGTGGCGCACTCGGTAGAGTGCGGCGCTTGGGAGCGCGGCGGCGCTCCCGCTGAGGGTTCAGATCCCATATAGAGACCGGTCCGCTCACTGGTTGAGCGCGGTGCGGGCGCGACACCGAGGGTTGCGATCCCGTTACCAGTCACGAAAAAAGACAAAAAGGAAAAATAAATAAGTTCATGCTCTTTAAAATTGATAAAAACCTATTCTAAAAAGATACTTAAAACAGAAAAACTTTATGTAGCAAGATGTTCATTACAGTTTTACTTACAATAGTCTTAAGTTAGAAAGAGCCTAAATGACCCAAAACAGGGAAATAAAATGTACACACATGGATTTTAAAGTCATTAAAAATTAGTTCTCATTATGCAATAGCAGTTTTCTGTATTATGAAATTATAAAAGAACAGAAAATTAATATGAATACCCTAAGTTCCTTTTTAATCATGCATTAAAAACTACCAAAAAAACCCCAACATGTTCACTATTTTATTTTCTACCTATGTCATCTAGTTTTAATAAGCATGTTTAAAAAAAAATAAAAATAAACAAGATTCTATAAACAAGGTTATGAAAGAATATACTTCAATCAAATACCACTAAAAATTATGTAAGTGCATCCTTACCGAGTTCTTCTTAAAATAAGTGAAAAAAAAAATCTCTGAAGAGAAACTGTTCTGTGAGTGGCATTCCAGATGTACTTACCCAAAAGAAAATTTTCTGGCTTCCAAATAAATCTGGTTGATCAATTCTCGAGTTGGTGCCACAATAATACACTCTGGTTCCTGCACCTCTCTAAAACGAGTGGCAGTTATTCCATCACGTATCATATGAGCCAAAACTGGCAGGAGAAAAGCTGCCTAGAAGTTAAATTGACTAATTTACAAATTTATAGGGCATCATTTTTGTCCCTATGGAAGGCTATTTTTCATGCCCTATTGCCTCAAGATTCTTTTTCCATCTTGCTGGTAAATTTAAGAAGAAAATGAAAATTTTTATTTCAACTAGTTCTTAACATTTAAGTTGTTCTGCTCATATTATATAACTAAAATATTTGATAAAATTAACCTACCCTATCAAAATATTTTCAGTCTTTTTTAAAAAAGCATACCTATAAATTCTAAATAGATCAACAACATTAATTCATAGAGGGGAATAAAGACAATTTGATGCAAATCACTGCATTTAACAGTTGTTCTAAATTAGTACTTTTGGGGTAGTAATAAAATGATCACTCATAATGTTTGACAGAAGTGGTTGACAAGATCAAGAACTTGAAAATCATCATTTAAATTACTAAATACAACACCCTTATTAAGTTATATCTGGCAAGACAAATTTTGTGGTATAGTTTTCTCATTAAGCAAAATAAGACACTTATTAAAATCTACCTCCAAAACCATATTTAAGTCAATCATCAGCTGCTGTATTACACAACTCACCTATTTTCCCTTAAATTCTAATATGGAGGCTGATTAAGACTAAAATGGCATGAACTAGGATGCTACAATTCTAGAAATAATAGTCTCATCTCATGGAACCCTATTTAACAGAAAAACCCACTGGATTAGTTCTAAAACAAACCTTGCTTCATCAGATTAACATAACCTGAGGTTACGTCATACTAAGGACCATGTACAATGCATATTAGCTGTTTATCATCTTTTGACTCCAAGGATATGTCAACTATACTACAGAAATTATTTTCTCCTTCTCTCAATGCTTATAACCTCTGGTTCTTTGACCTTCAATCATTTTCTTTTAGAAACTGCCATGTCCCAGAAAGAGTTGAACACACTTAGAAACAGATTAAACATTTATGGACTGCAACACTACCCTAAAAATAGTTCAAAATTCTTTTTTCAGAAGTACACAAACCCCCAATTAAAAAATCAGAAGCAAAAACATGAATATTTACAACAGTTCACTGAAATCAAATACAAACCTTCTATCCAATAAAAGAGACTCAAACTATTTAGGAAACATCAAAGTTAGAAAAGTAACAATTCGGATATGGAGCAGAATATATGTAAGAAAATGACTTACAGTCTTCCCAGACCCTGTTTGAGCACAAGCCATCAAATCTCGTCCTGCTAGTATAATGGGAATACTGTATTTTTGTACAGGAGTAAGCTTAGTATAACCAGCTTTGGCAATGTTGTTATTCAGTGTCTGACAGAGATTAGCTTCTTCAAAAGTCTAAAAAAAAAAAAAAAAAAAAAACGGGGGGGGGCAGTGATTACGTTTCACATACCATATGCAGGTCATTTCATAAACATATTCCATTTAAACTAGTTTTTAACTTTTTTTGTACATATTTGTGAGGTACAGTGTGCTGTTTCAATCCATGCATATACTTGTACACTGATTCACTCAGAATAGATAGCATAGCTTCATATTCATTAATCCACTACTTTCCCTAGCTCCAGTGCTCCCTCTCCGCCTGTCCTCTGGTAACCATTATTCTACTCTCCCTACTTCTATGAGAATACCCCACCCCCCTTTTATTTTTAAGATTCCACTTATGAGTGAGATCATGCAGTATTTGTGTTTCTGTGCCTGGCTTACTTCACTCAACATATAGGTTTTGTCAATTCTATTTTATATACTAAATTTACTTTACCAATATACCCCCACTCAGAAGTAAATATCCAAAGCGTATATGCTAGAATTAGGAAGTATTCCCCATAGAGAGTAGTCCCAAAAACGTTTTTTTTCTGCCCCCTTAAAACCTGTGAGATACGAAAAACGCTGATCAGTAACACTGGCTCATTATAATCAGCAACAGCAGACAAAGAGCTCCTCCACTCTCCTTAGAAAATCACTCCCCTAAGATACACTTTCTCACATACTTAGGAAGCTAACATCTTGAATCTCTAGGAAAAGTATCCTTTTTAGTAAATTTAAATGAAGTTCTCATCCTGATATGGGGAATGAGGACGAAATCTAATACTCTCTTTTTTGACACAGCAATCAATTCTACTGTAGAAGGTAGACATGGCTCTAAATTTCAAACCTAAGACATTAGATACTAGAGGTGAAATTTTTGTGACATCAATTTAAAGAAATACAGTAATATTTTAAAACCAAAGTTTGCTATATAGTCAACACAGAAACAAGTAATACACTGACCAGAATTGCTGGTGGTACATCATGTCCAGACACTTCTACAAGAATAGTATCATATTTGTCAAAGTTTATGCCAGTCTGATAATGTGCAAAGATGGAGTCCTCATCCTCAGGTGGAGGAGGGGGTATGTAGGTTACTTTTGGTCCTTAGAATTTAAATAAAAAACATAATTTACATTACAAAGACTAGAAGAAAAATAAAAGAAAATCGACAAAAATGAAATTTTAAATACTGTAGAAATTCCCACTGTTTACCATTAAAGATTTCACTGTTCAAATTTTTAAAAAGATAAAAATGCAAAATATTTAAAAGCAGGATTATTAAAATTGCAATGTACATTCACGTGGACCACACAAGTGTTAACATACCTTGAGTGTCACCACTTTCTCTTCCTTCAGCTTCTGACTTCGAAGAATCTTAAAGGGTATCAAAACAAAAGAGATAAATATTCTTAAAAATTGAGGGGTAAAAGAACTCTCACTATATAAATCAAATATCTTATCTCCAAAGTAAAACTTACTCTTTCCAGAGCCTGTTATTACCTCTTCATTTAAACCTTTGTAACCACCTATTAAAGAAATTCATAGTGACAATCAGTCAAGATACAAAGCTGTGTACAACTGTACTTTCATTGCTTGTCTTCAAGGAGGACAAGTTTAAAAATGGACAGGCATCCTGAAAGCCCCTTCTTACAAATACTTGAGACAGTTAAGATAAATAGAATCTTGTACATTTTAAGTTTCCTTAGTATTTAAAATAATTTTATGCAACTGAGACTGTGTTACCACTTTTTGTTTAAGCTGTTATGTTTCTTTCCTAATAAGCAAAGATATATATTTTCTAAAAGGAACTAAAAATCTGTTGTGTTGGGGGTCCCTAAGACCACCCCAGGTTCAATGATTTACTAGGAGGACTCACAGGACTCAAAATATAGTCCTAGTCACGGCTATGATTTGTTACAGTTAAAGAATAGGGAGCAAAATCAGCAAAGAGAAGAAGCCCGTGGGGCAAAGCCCAGGGAAAACCAGGTGCAAGCTTCTAAGAGTCTCCTTCAACTGGAGAAGGACATGCTTAATCCTCCCAGCAATGATATGAGGAATGGAGATAAAATCTAGTACTCTGTTTTGACACAGCAATTAATTCTACTGTAGAAGGTAGACATGGTGACAAAACATGTGAAATGTTACCTACCAGAGAAGCTCATTAGAAACTCAATACCCAGGGTTTTTAATAGGGACTCATAATGTACATACCTTCTGCCTGGCACATACCAAAATTCCAGACTCCCAGAAGGAAATTATTCAGCATAAACCACATTGTTTATACAAACAGTTTAGGCACAATGAGTCACTCATACCAATTGGGGTAGTGGGAACACTTCCCAGATCCAAGTTCTCAGATGCTAGCTACAACGGTTAATTTTAGGTGTCAACTTGACTGATTAAAGGATATCCAGATAGCTGGGAAAGCATTATTTCTGGGATGTCTGTGAGGGTATTTCTGAAAAACACTGGCATTTTAATCAGTGGATTGGGTAAGGAAGATCTGCCCTCACTCAATGTAGGTGGGCACCGCCCAATTGGCTGAGGGCTCAGACAGAACAAAAAGGCAAAGGAAAAGCAAATTCTCTATGTTCTAGGGCTGGGACACCCTTCTTCTCCTGCCCTTGGACATCAGAACTTCAAGTTCTCCAGCCTTTCGATTCTCAGACCTCATCCTCAGACTGAGAGTTTTATCATTGGCTTCCCTGGTTCTCCAGCATGCAGACAGCCTATGATGGGACTTCTCAGCCTCCATAATTGCGTGAGCCAATTCCCCTAATAAATCCCCTCTTAGAGATCTGTATCTATCTATTGCTACTTCTGTCTCTCTAGAGAACCCTGACTAATATACACTAGCCAGGGACCAACCTTGTAAGCAGGATTTTCAATTTCATTTATTGACGAATTTTAAGTGAACAGCAGTCAGGCCTATTAACTCTTTTCTACACACTACCTTTCTGATTTTTAGATAACTATCTATTGTGCCACTTTTAGGTACTATGACTGCATTAGATCCAAAAGCTAAATAGATATAACATGTTTTACATGTGAGCTAACTTCTTTGGCTTGTGTGTTTATAAGTATTGAAATCCTTCTTCATACAAGATGTGAACATTTGTGGAAGACTTGGTTTTTAACAAGTCCTTAATAAATTTTTTCTACACTGAAGAATCCAAGAATCAGGTGAAAAAAGCTGTCCCTTTGAATGCTCTCAGGGTAACAACAATTGCTGAGAATCTTTCAAAGACAAACAAGCCTTATTAGTTTACTAGCTTTGAAAGCATTTTAACTTTTACATGACATTTAAGTATTTATACTTTGAAAAAAATTCAGAGTAAAAAAGCATATACATTGAACTAACTTTTATACCTTACACCAAATCAAATAACTATCTCATGATAAGAAAAAACATTGTTTTAATAAGGATTTATACACATAAATATATTTCTCAATTTTTAACATCTGCACAGTATCCCATTTTATGGTTATATTATTTATTAAAGTTATTTACTGATGAATTTTAGGTGATTTCCAGTTTTTACTTATTATAAAATGAAGACTTAGTGAACATCCTTGTACACGTACTTGCAAATACATCTATAGTATATAATTTCTATAATGGAACTACTGGATCAAAGAGGAAATAACCTGGAGGGTATTACAGGAACTCTCCAAAACAGGCTGTGCAAGTTTATACTCCTCAGTGTATAAAAGCAGTAAGTTACCTTCAACTCCAAAAATTAAATTTACAGTACAATAATTTTAATTTCTTATACATAAACCAAGTAGGAACTTACCTCGTCTACCACTTCCGTTGCTACTTCTTCTTTGATATATGTCACCACTACCTGTAAGGCAATGTTTTGCAGTTTATAAAAAACACAGCTCCTCCTCAAGCACATAAACATATGGCTATTATTCAATACAGAGTGATTACTTAGGATTCCTAGTCCCTTAAGCAATTTATCTCTTAATTCTAGATTTAATTTAAACCTTACCTTTATTTAAACATTTTTCATCAACAATTGTGTTCTTTTTCAATTTCTCCTCAAATCAAATTGTTTTCCCCTAACTCAGAAACCTTTGAAACCAGTGCAAGCTTAATTTTCCTTCCTTCAGTTAAAAGTATAATTTACACCTCAAATTAACTGAAGAAATAATAGAAGAAATAATTCACAGGGCACAAGTTTCAAAAGAGAGGCAAAATTATCCACGTATTTTTGCTGACAGATCTAAAAAGCAGAGAAAATCATGTAGTGTAGCCAACGTAGTGTACCTAAACATATATATATTAATCCTAGTGCTAAAAACATACATGAATGATTAATATTCAGTAGTAACTTTTATTTCTCACCTGTGCTACTTACTGCTGGTCTTCTAGAACCAAAAAGACCACCAATGCTCTGCATTCCTTCATCTTGGTCGTATTCATTTTCTTGATTTGTAAAAAATAAAATTGTTACTTTTAAGAAGGTTTTTAATCATTAAGAGAACACAAATCAAGGTTTTGTGCCAGAAGTTAAAAGATGTGAGATAAAATAGTTTAACAAGAATCACAATGAGGATTTTTCTAAGTATCACACACAAAGAATTTTTCCACAAATTATGTCCTTCAATTACAAATTACTTCAAAAATTTTATTTTATCAAAATTATTTTATAAACGAAGTTAGGGCCAATGTTATGTCAAAACATGATATGTTAAAGTTAACTTCCTCCAAAAAGTGGCACCTTTACTTCCCCAGAAACTTCACATTGCATCATTTCATACCATATTCTCCTGAATAGCAACCCTTGCTCCCATTGTTGCCAAATCAAATTTTACTAGCCCTGTACAGCAACCCTTCAGAACCCTACGCTTTTTAAAAAGTAACAATTCACTAGTATGCTATGCAGCTATTAAATCATTAATACAAATTTATTTATGATGATTTCAGCTTCCAAACCATTAATCTGTCCTCCTCTGTTAAGAGACGCATGCATTCCAACACAGACTTCTGAAGACGCTACCTTAGCTCCAATGAATATGATAGCTGGAGGAATTTAAGGTAGAAAGCCATATTGGTGAAGAAAGGTATGTTGGGGATAGGTAGAGCCCTACAGGCCACCTATTTAAAAGGTCGGCCATATTACCAAGGCTCTAAAACTCTTAATAATATGTAATATTAAAGAACTGGGTCAAACAAATCTCTAAAAAATTTATATTCCAATATGCAATTACAAATGTGTCTTAAAAATGATATATACAATGTGGGCAATTAATTTGTATCAGCCACTGTGCTAAGCTGTTCTCATATAATCCTCATAATAACAACCTTATGTAATGGATATTTGTCATTTTCTTCTTAACAGATAAAGCATGCTATTTGCAATCCACTACTAACTTGTACTTCCTAGAGCATATCCTCCACGGCAACCTCGGAAACTTCCTCTTCCTCCTCTTCTGGATGGCCTTGAAGCTTCTGAATCATTTCCGTCTTGATACCCTATTATATGAAAACACACACACACACACAAGAACACCACAAAACAACAACAAAGAAATCTTGGGGACATGGTGGCCAAATTTAATTTAAGCCTTGAGTAAAATTCAATGACTTTAAATATTTTAAGGCATTAACAGATAGTCACTAAAAAGAAATGCCATATTTGACCCGTAAATGCTCAACTTTACTAATATAAATAGATATGGCTGTAATCAGGAAAAAATCCACGGCTCACTCTGAGAATCAAAACTTAAAAAATGACTAAAAGGAAAAAGTGTCACTTGAATAAAACACTGAAAGTCGCCAAAGCTGCACCATTAACTGGACTTCTTCCATCCACAGGAGAATTAAATAAACATCTTCCTCAGAGCACAGACATGTAGGCACATATAAAGTCTGATTTTCTATTATAAACAATTCATTTTTTAATTCAATTGACTCCCAAAAAAATCAGTAGAAAGGGTTCAAGCGAAATTTGATTCCATCTAGGGCAGAACTAGATCAATTCAAAACCAAAGTGCCAACTGGACAGGAAATGAAAATTGAGACTAGTTTATGGACTTGCAACTGTTTACACCTAAAGAGAATGATCAATAAAGCTAAAATTCTACATATGCTGCTACTTGATATTTATTAGATTATACTATTTTAAAAGCCTATTTATAGAATGGGACAGAACTAATTCAAAGTAGATTCATAGTTATGCACCTATTACTTAAACCTTACACTCATCAATCTATCAACAATCTGGATATTAATAGTTACACCCATTTTTTATTCAAAATTATTTATTTGTACCTCCGTTATCTTTTAAGAAACGTTGTCAGGGTTTCTTTTCAAAAAAGAAAAATAAAAAGTTTGTCTTCTGAATCCTCTCTTTTTTTTAAGGTATAAGTTATTTTTGTGAAAGTAAAAGAACATATAAAACATATATATGTTAAAAATATAATAAAATGAAAATCTACGTACCCACCCCCCATCCAGCTTAAGACTAAAATGTTCACAATACATTTGCAGTCCATGTATTTCATTTCCCTTGTTTCTCTTCTTCTCCCTGAGCACCTCTCCCTCCTCCCAACCAATATCCTGAATTGTTTTTCATTTCCTTGCTCTTAATTTTTACCAACTATGAACATATTCTTAACCAACATATTGTTTAGTTTTGTTTTTGAGCTTTATATAATAGAATCACCCAGAATATATTCTTCTATCATCTTTCTTTTGTTGATGTGTGAAACTATTTCACGCATTTTCATTGCTGAACACTTACTTGTATGTTTCCATTTCATTCATGTCTATTATCTTTTCTCCTTTTCTCCTCCCTTTTTAATTACAGTCATGCACCACATAACATTTCAGTCAATTGCAGACTGCCTATATAATGATGGTCCCATAAGATTATAATGAAGCTGAAATATTCTTATTGCTTAGTGACATCATAGTCGTCATAACATCATAGCACAATTACTTTTTTATAAATTTACCGTAGCCTAAATGTACATAAAATGTTTATAAAGTTTACAATACTGTAATGTATGAGGCCTTTAACCTTGGAAAAGTCTCAACTATTCCCTTCAAATAGTCTTCTTTCTCCTCCTCCCCCTTCCCCCATTTTCTCTGATCTCTCCACAGGAAACATTTAGACATATGTTGAACTAACAGGCCTTCTTATTCTATCTTCCATATCTCTTAACTGCTTTTGTGTTTTCCATTTCCAAATTTAGAGAATTTCCTCAGATCTGTCCTTTGATTAATTTATTCTATTCATCTGTGTTTAACCTGTTTAACCCATCCATTATGTTTTTTTTTTTTTTTTTTTTTTTTTTTTTC